GAGCCCGGACTGGCTCCCGCGCTCAGGACGCCCCAACCCACCCGGGGGCGACCGGTCCGGCCCGGGACAGCACCGGCATGACCTGGGACTGTCACCAGGGTGCGCAGTCAGCGGTGAGTACCTCGGAGGTAGCGGGACGGAGGGAAGCTGTGAGGGGCTCAGGGGCAGCCTGTGGTGTGACCCGCAGCTGGTAGTGCAGGCGGCGCGAGTCCCAGCCCCAGTGCGAGGGCGCGAGCGGCGGGAACCCTGCGCACTCGCCCCTGTCCTGTCCACAGATGCGTGTTAGGATGGGGAATGAGGGTTGAGAATAACAGCGAAGTCCCAGATCCCGGGAGTTGGGAGAAACTTAAGAGGAAACTTAGGCGGCTGGCTGTGGGCGTGGGTCTGTGACTGCCTCCACCCTGGACCCCCGACCCCCGCGGAAATCGCTGGCAAGGTCGCCGAGCCCCAGCCTTTTCGGAGTTGTGGAGGCAGGGGCGGTCCTATCACCCTGGGACGCGATCGTCCCACACCTCCCGGGGGCTCAGAGCCGCATCCCTGTTTGGCCGCACCTCTGGCCCCGCGCAACCTGTCCGAATGGTCCCCACAGTCGGGTGAGACGCCGCTCGCAGCTAGCAGCCGAGCTCGTGTGAGCGGGGTGGGTGCAGGTTCAAAGCCCCTAAGATCTGGCCGGGCAGCTGCTCCGTCGCCGCCCGGGGATCGCGCTGAGCCCCTCACCTGGCTCGGCTCCCGCAGCGTGTTAGAGCGGGACCGGAAGGCGTCGGGCTCCAGCGCCAGGGCTGAGGGCTGCTGGACGCCGAGGGGCCTTAGAAAGGTGAAGTCACTGCCGTCCGAGGCCGGTGAAAAGCACGTCCTGTAGCAGTGGCTCTGCGAGTCCGCGGGCCGCAGCGTCACCTCCATGTACTTGAGCGTGCCATCCGAGCTCACCTGCAGGTTGGGGCTGGACTGCTTGTAGTAATCCCGGGAGGGCGAGTCCTGGCGCTTGCAACACCCGCCCCCGCCCCCCTCCCCATCTGCCTGTCCCCGAAGGCACTTAGCTGACAGGAAGGTGAAGGTGACTAAGGATAACAGACTGACGGCTGCGAGGGCCACAATGAGGTAAAGGGTAAGGTCTGACCGCTCAGGAGGGTGTGTGAAGAAGTCGCTGGATTTGGGCATTTCCTCGGGGTCCTCATCCTCCAGAACCAGGAGCACTGTGGCGGTGGAGGAGAGGGCAGGGTCACCGTTGTCCCTCACCAGGACCACCACCTGCTGGGTGTCAGAGTCATCCTCCAGCAAGGCCCGGGCTGTGCGCACCTCACCGGTGTGTGCCGACACCAGGAACAGTCCTGGGGCTGTGGACTGTGGCAACAGCGAATAAGAGAGCCATGCATTGTGGCCTGCGTCCGCATCCACAGCTGTCACCTTGGTGACCAAGGAGCCAGGAGGCGCCGAGCGAGGGAGACGCTGGGGGGCTGGCAGTTCCCAGCCGGGTCTTGGGTGCAGCACAGCCGGGGCATTATCATTCTGGTCCAGGACAAACACATGCAGAGAGGTGTTGGCATGCAGCGGGGGAGACCCAGAGTCTCGCACCCCCACCGTGATCTGCATCATCTGCAGCAATTCGTAGTCAAAGGTGCGTTGGGCAAAGACCCGCCCATCCTCGGGGTTGACATATACGAAGGAGGAGGCTGGGGCTCCCTGGATCTGATTCCCTATGATGGAGTAGGTGAGCCGGGCGTTATCCCCGGTGTCTGGATCGGAGGCAGCCACCGTGCAGAGAAGGGAGCCTGGAGGCCGGTTTTCCGGGATGTACGCAGTATAGAGCTGCTGGGTGAAGTAGGGGGCATTGTCATTAACATCGGAAATGTTGAGCCTGATGGTGAGATGTGCGTGCAGGGGAGGTGAGCCCGCGTCACTGGCCAGCAGCTCAATGATATAGTGGGATGTGGCCTCACGGTCCAAGGGCTGGCTGGTGAGCAGTGAGTAGTGGTTCTCAGAGGGCTTAATCTGAAAAGGCAGGTCTGGAGAGATATCAAGGCTCACTTCACCGTTCCTCCCCGAGTCTCTGTCCCGCACATTAAACAATCCCACTACTGTGCCCACTGGTGTGCTCTCCAGGACCGGGTTGACCAAAGAGGCCAGTAGTACCTCTGGGGCATTGTCATTGGCATCCCCCACATCCACTTGAATCACACAGTGGCCTTCCATGGCTGGCTGTCCCTGATCACGGGCCCTTGCATGAATTTCATAGAAACTTGACTCCTCAAAGTCTATGGGACCCAACACATGGATTGCTCCACTGCTAGGATCTAGGCCAAAGAGATTCCGCACTGCCTCAGATGTATGGTCTCCAAAAGAATAGTCTAGTTGGCCATTGGTGCCTTCGTCCGGATCAGTGGCATTGAGGCGGAGCAGCAGTGTACCCACGGGTGCATTCTCTGCGAGTCCCACACGAAGAACTGAGGACTGGAAGGTTGGAGCATTATCGTTGATGTCCAGCACAGTGATAGAGATAAGGGCGGTCCCTGAGCGGGCTGGGACACCCCCATCCACAGCAGTGAGCACCAACTGATGTTTTGCCTGAGCTTCACGGTCCAGCTGCTGCTCTAGCACCAGCTCTGGGAATAGCTTCCCATCTTTTAGGGTCTTCACATTCAGAGAGAAGTGGTTGTTGGGGCTCAGAGTGTAGAAGCTCACAGTATTGGTGCCCACATCTGGATCCTGGGCACTATCTAGTGGGAATCGTGCCCCCACAGCAGCTGATTCTGAGATGCGTATCTCTCGCTCAGGGCTGGCAAAGCTAGGAGAGTTGTCATTGAGATCCAGGATCTCTACCTCTACACGGATTAGTTCCAGTGGGTGTTCGGTCACCACCTGGACTGGCAACAGGCAGCTGGTACTGGCTCCACACAGGCTCTCTCGGTCAATCTTTTGATTTACTGCCAGACCACCACTCATCAAGCTCAGGGAAAAATAGTGCCCCTTTTCCTCAGAGCCCAACCGCAGTCCACGGCTCATCAGATCTGTCACCTTTAAGCCTAGGTCCTGAGCAACATTTCCCACCAGCGTCCCCGGCTCAGACTCCTCCACCACTGAGTAACGAAGCTGCCCAGACACCCAGCCCCAGCAGCACAAGGACAACATGCACAGCACTTGCCATTTCCCAGCGAGCTGTGGGGGTATCTTGGGCCCCATGACCCAGAAGTCCCTCCTGGACACTGACTCTGTGCTGTCCTGTCTCCAAGGTAGACCCAGGGCTTGGAATGTAGCAGCTGAAACCTCTTGTGTCTCCTTCCAGCCTCTTAAAAACTGCTCTGAGGTTTGCCTGCCTGCAGCAGTTCCTCTTAGTCACCGAATGGCGGGGGTGGGTAGGGGGGAAGGGGGAATTAAATCTGAGTGGAGCTGGGGAGCTGGGGGAGGAGAGGCGGGCAAGAAGAGCAGATCCCCCACCTCAGCTCTTAGTCTGATTGGCCAAAAAGTCTGTCTGCTCTCAACCAATTATGAAGTCTCCTCAGTCCTGGAAACCTTAGGAACAGGCTGCAAATCTGTGTCACAGAAGCCTCCTACTTCCCCACTTATTTCGTGCTGCAGGTTGATTCAGCCCCCTTGGCAGCAAAATTTGACAGCTCAGATGGTGCTCAACAGGAAAGACAAAGTGGTACAAAACTTCTCAGTGTTCTGTCCCAGCAACTTCCTGCATGATTTCAGAAGCTTCCACTACTTGCTTGAACCAACAAAAGTTTGTCCTTATGGAGGAGGCAAAGCCCATGTGTTCCCACTCCCACCCCCATCCTGCTAACCACTGCTGACATGAGAAGAGAGATTTGTTAGGATCATGTAGAGTCTAGCTCTGACTTTCCAGCAATGCTTTAAGGAATCTCAATGCCAGCTGATGACTATAGCACTCAGCTTTCCTGAGATCCAGACTTGAGCTACAGAATGAGCATCACAGCTTATGGTAGGGGAAATATTTCTGGGACGGATTCAGGTCACCAGAAGGGTGACTAGAAACTAGGCATGGCCTCTAGGCTTTATGGTTTCACCAATTCAGAAGTACTCTACTTAGAGACCCTCTCTATGCATGCCTCATCTGTAAACCAGATTTCTGACATTAAGTGATTTCACTCTTTGCTTTTTCCCCCAGAGAGGCAATGCTCCCCTGCCCCAGTCTACTGCATCTAGCTCAAATGCCAGTGGGGACTTGACTGGGAGTCCTGAAGATGCCTCTTCTCCCTTGATTCTTTCCTCTTTGTGCTGTCTTCTAGATTCCAAGCAGGAACTTCCCTTCACAGTGGGTTAGGGAGTACTTGATACTGTGAGGCAAAGGTATGCTTCCCTCAATCCATTGGGGAATGGTAATCTAGAGTTGAGGTAGGCCAGAATCTGGCCCCTTCATTCCGGAAGAGTAGAGAACACAGCCACCTGGGTTTAGGTGATGGTCCAGTGTTCCCTCCCCTTGTATTTCATAGTCTTCTATGCTCCCACATTCTTGCAGCATGCTTTCCTGGCTCTTGGTCATTTACTTTCATTTCTTACTCTCAGATAAGGTCATAACCCAAACCCAAGTATTAACCTTCGACAACTCCCTGGTTAATTCACAAAACACTTCTAAAGCACAGAATCTACCACACAGTTACCACTCACAAAAATGGTGACATCACTATGGGCTCTTACAGAGAGGCCAATACTCTCTGGTACACGGCCCAACCACATGCCTGTGTCGGAATAACCCTCAAGCATTGACTGAGCCTGCAAAGATCTCACCTCCAGCCCATAGAGAAGATCAGAGGGTGGGCAGCTTGGGCGAACAGGCTCCCCTGCCATAGGTGCACTGGGTGACTTCACCATCATGAAGCTATCGCTCCGAGTGGGTGCAGAAGCCAAGGGTGTACAGCCATGAGAGTGACCACCCACATCAACAAACTTGATAGGATCATCTGACCCTAGCTGGATTCGGAGGATCCCATTGGAAGGAGGAAGCCCCTCCCTCCTTCGAGAGCGGGTGAGACATGCACAGGTGCCAGCAGGAAAGCAGGTCGCTCCGCAGGCAGCCCCACGAAGACACTTAGAGAGCAGAGCCACAAATGAGCCAAAGGAGACAAAGCAAATTGCCACTAGTGATACAGCCAAGTAGAGGGTCAGGCGGGATTCTCCTTCCCTTGGAGCTGAAGATTCTCGAAGATCAGGGACAACCGGATGAGCATCTTCCTCCAAGGACACTAGGAGAGTAACGGAGGTAGAGAGCGGTGGGGTACCACTATCCTTCACCACAATGACCAGCTTCTGTGGTGGGAGATCAGCTGGAATGGGAACAGCTGTCCGCACCTCCCCAGCATAACGAGAGACTGCAAACAGGCTGGGATCTGGGGCCTCCAGGAGCTGATAGGAAACCCAAGCATTGTAACCTGAATCCAAGTCCACAGCAGTCACCTTTGTGACTAGGTGACCAGCACCAACTGATGGAGGCAGTGCTTGGGGACATAAGGAACCAGGCCGGGCCCTAGGGCGGAGCACAGCCGGCGCATTGTCATTGAGGTCCAGCACGAATAGACGAACTGTCACGGTGCTACTAAGGGGTGGGTTGCCCCGATCCCGGGCCTGCACCTCAAACTGCAGTGTCTGTGTTTGCTCATAGTCAAAGGATCGAGTAGCATGAACAGCTCCTGTCTGGGGGTTCAGGGAGATGAAGGAGGAAGCCGACACGTCTCGATTCCTGGGCTCTAGGAGAGAGTAGGAGATGAGCGAATTCAAGCCAGAGTCTGGGTCAGAGGCTGCGAGGGAGCAAAGCAGGTCCCCTGGGCGATTGTTCTCAGGAACAAACACCTCATGTGACCTCTGGAAGAAGGAAGGTGGGTTATCATTCACATCTGAAATATTGAGGAAAATAGTCCTTTGGGTGCTCAGAGGAGGGTTCCCAGCATCAGAAGCAGTGACCATGATGTCATAGCTGGATTTGGCCTCTCTGTCCAAGGACCCAGCAGTCACCAGGGAGAACTGGTTCCTGAAGGCGGACTTGAGGGCAAATGGCAAGTGGTCAGGAATACGGAGGCTCACATCCCCGTTGGACCCTGAGTCGGGGTCCTGCACGCTGATCAGGGCCACCACAGTGCCAGGTTCCGCGCTCTCTGGGAGAGTCCCAAGCTCTGAGGTCACCGTGATGTGGGGGGCGTTGTCGTTTACATCCAGGAGATCCACGCGAAGGCTGCAGTGTTGCTCCATGGCCGGAGAACCCCCATCACGAGCCCGAACATCAAATTCATAGTAATTCTCATTCTCAAAGTCTAGGGGCCCCTGGAGGGTAAGCTTTCCAGTCGTGGGGTGCAGGCTAAAGAGGTTTCTCACGCGGTCAGGGGTGTGACCACTGAAAGAAAAGGTGACGTTACCACTGGGACCCAGGTCCGGGTCGGAGGCGTTGAGCTGGATGAGCAGCATGCCAGCGGGCGCGCTCTCCAGCACGCTGATCCTGTAGCTGGATTGCTGGAAGGCTGGGGCGTTGTCGTTCACGTCCAGCACCGACACTCGGAGCTCCGCGGTGCCGGATCTGGGAGGGTTACCTCCATCCACGGCCGTCAGCACCAGGCGGTAGTCCGATTGCTTCTCCCGATCCAGAGGCTTCTCCAGGAGCAGCTCTGGGACCAGGCTGCCGTCGCTGCGCTTCTTTACATCCAGGGCAAAGTGCTCATTGGAGCTCAGTCTGTAGCTGCTGATGGAGTTGCTCCCCACATCTGCATCCTGAGCCTTTTCCAAGGGGAAACGCTGCCCTGGAGGAGCCGCCTCCCCAATTTCCAAGTCCAGCTGCTGCCGAGGAAATCGGGGGGCGTGATCATTCACATCCACGATTTCTACCTCCGCTCGGTACATTTCCAAAGGCCCTTCGGTTACAAACTCCAGGGGCACGATGCAGTTGGCACTGAGCCCACACAGTGCCTCTCGATCAATTGGGTTCTTGATGAGCAGGGCTCCGCTGTCCAAATCCACACGGAAGTGTCTTTGGTTCACCTCTCCAGCGACCTGCAGCCTTCGGGCTGACAGACTCTCTGTATCCAGCAGGAAATCTTGGGCGACATTCCCTACAAAAGTCCCCTCCTGGGACTCCTCTGGGACCGGGTATCGGATCTGCCCACAAACGTAACCCAGGTAGCAACAGAGGAACAAAAGGGTAGCCCCCGGGCAGATGTCTACCCAGCTTCTCACCTCGCGGAGCATTGCTGCCGCCAGCTCGCTCTCTACCTGGTCCTGAGAAGCCAAAGGAGCCGACCCGCCCCAAACAGCCACAGCAGCTGGAGACACCTAGCTCCCTTTGCCCGCGCCAGTTCTGGCGCGGCTCGGCCGGCGCCGCAAGGGTTACGCGCCGTTTTTTGCTGGTGGCGGGGTAGATTTGTCTGCCTCCCGCCACGCGATTGGCGGACAGCGGCTCCGGGGCTCAGCCAATAGGCTGAGCAGAGAACATCCCAATAGCGGCAGGGTTAATGCGTCGCAGCATTGGAGAAAAAGCAGACACACACCCCAAAACAAAAAACACCCATCTTTTCACCTTTCTCCCGCTCAACAGCCTTTCTTTTCACGGGTTATTATTACCTCTATGAAGAGGCAGACAACAGATACTAGTACGTGTCGTGTTTTTTTTTTTTTTTCTTTCTTTCTGGAACACACCAATTTTCCCCGCCCCCTTTCCTCGGGGAAAACAGCCAGAGCCCTAGCAACCTGCAGCCCTGAGAGGAGTAGCCATTGGAGACTGGTCACTTTGTTTAAGCCAGTGTTGTCATCCACCAATATTCTAAATGAGTAGCTTCCGCTCAGTCCAGTTGTATCAGAGCAACAGCTAATTAGAAGCACTGCCGTGTACACAGAACTCAGCCTCTCTCAGATTATTCAGAAACGTAGCCACCTCTTCGCAGAAAAGGCTTACACATTCATGTAGCCAATTAAATTTATGCAGTACACATTTTCTGCTGTACCAGGAGGCGCAGCGGAAACCAAAACTCTTTTATTCAGACGCTTGCTAGTGATACACTAAATTACCATTCACTCATTTCAAGGACAGTATGGGAGGAGATGAAGCAGAGTAGAGGAAGCCAGGAAAGGGAGATGTTCCAAACCAGTAAAGAATCAGTTGTGTCTGGGAGGTACTAAGGGTTAGATCTCACTACCTGGCGGAAAGCTGATGTTCACAGATTTAATAGCTCCCCGTGAACGATTGAGATCAAGCTACCAACAGCACTGTGCCTACAAATCCCCTTTATTTGACACCATGGTATGCCTGCTATGTTGTTAATTACCAACAGAGGCTGTTTCCAAAGAGCAAGCTTTTCACTTAGCCCCAGGGGGCCCCTTGGAGCTGGAGACTTGATGTCACTCCACCCTGACCCTGATCCAGACCCTCCCAGGAGCCTGGCGACCACCTTGCACAAATGAAGAAACAGCTCATTTCACACTGCAGTTACCTGCAAACTATAACCTGAGTGGCAAACACACCAGAGCACAAAGACAAAATTTCAGCCTGATCTGGACGTATTTCTGAACTCACTGGAATCCTCACCTAGGTTACCGGTGGATGCCAAAACCAGTGGCAAAACCTGGGCTTCTTATTCTCCCTATATTTTTCCAAACCCTTGATCCTCAGGAATATCCTCTGACTATGGTGATGCCAGCAACCAACATTCTGGTCTCAAAGGGAGGTGGGGCGGGGGGGTGGGGTGGGGAGATCTGCTTTCTATGTTCTTTTACAAAAACACCTGAACCTCTTCTCCTGGGAATGACGGAGATGTAAATCAGGCTAAACCACTAGGTGTTTATGCCAGGATTCTCTTCAGTGAATGACACCTCATCATCCACCCAGCTCCCTCAGTTGGAACAGGTATGGTCATCTTTGACTCATTCCTCTCCCTGACTACCTATATGATGTCAATCAACAAGTCCTGATGATTTTACTATGATACCTCCCTCCATTTATTCTGCCACTGGAATGGTTCAAGCATTTACCAATCTTTTCCTCAAGTATCATAATAGCCTTCTAACTGTTCTCTTTGTTTCCAGTATCAATATCCCCAGTCCATCTCACTAATGGCTGCTAGAATAATCCCTCTAAAACAAACAAACAAACTCCTGATGACATCATACATATGTAAATTCAAAATTCTGCAATGACTATCACTGATACAGAATAAAATAAAAAACTCCTTGGCCTGGCCTAAAGGTAATTCATGATCTAATTCCTGCCTACTTGCTTCACTTTATCTCTTGCAAAGACTGTCTATTTTAAAAACATGCTTTAAAGTTCAGCAATAATGTAATATCATTATTCCGCAGCATGGAATTTTCTGCAAGATCTTCTATCTTTGCCCTTTGCTATTTAACAAATTACTACTCAATCTTTAGTTCTCAGCTCAACCATCACCACCTCTATGAAGTCTTCCAGATTGGCTTTGGTGTTTCTTTCCTTCTGCTCCCATTACTTCTTGTATATCATTTTTTTTTTGCATGTCTGTCTCCTATGGTACTCTGTGTAGCACAAGCATGTCAAACTCGTGGCCAGCCGAGTTTGACATGCTTGCGGCATAGCTGTATCTTTTCACCTTTTA